GTCACATTTTGAGTGCATTCTAACCTGAGGGGCTCATTTTCTGGCACTATATCTGACAGTGTTTCTCTGCTATTCATAAGGTTTTCAGTGACTAAAGATTTGGAAGTAGTTTGTCACTCTTTCTTCCTAGTCTGTCTTTGTCTGGAAGCTCATCTGAAACCTCTCCGCCATTGGTGACCCTGCTGGTATTTAAAATACTGTTGGCATAGCTTTCAGAATCACAGCCACTCACAAGCCACCACAGTACGACAAACTGACAGACATATGGTGGCTGTTTGGTTTTAAGGGGAAACTGTCACTTAAAATTATAGAAATAACAATAAGCTAATTAAACTTAAAAGGTAACCAAAGAAATATTGGGAAAAGGACAAGGGAATAGTTTAATGAAGTTACTTTTCTTTATACTAGGAAGATAGTGCTTAAAGTAAGTAAATGCAGATAGTGTAGTGCAAACATCCTGTTTCTGGTTATGAAATTTACCTTGAGAATTAAAAATGGAAATGTCAAGAGAGGCTATTTTGGATGACTACAACTGGAGTGAAGATTGAGGGAAGAGTGCATATTAAATGTTACTCTTCTGTTCTGCTTGAATTATTTCTATACTTTTATAACATAAATGTTTATAATATAAAAATTATGATGAAAGGGAACATACAAATCATACTTTTAGATATATTAGAAAGGAATATTACAACACATTGTGAAAATGAATTGTTTATGTTGGGTTTTTTTCTTAATGTTTCTTTATAGGATGAAATCATGCGACAGACTTTGTCTTATCAGATCTACTTCTTTTGGGGACTGTTGCCCTTTTGTGTGCTGTGTACATTCTCTGCCAACAAATGTACTGTTAAGCATGAAGTAGCAGACTGTAGTCATCTGAAACTAAATCAAGTACCAGATGACCTCCCCACAAACATAACAGTGTTGAACCTTACCCATAATCAATTCAGAAGACTACCACCTGCCAATTTTACAAGATATAGTCAACTTACTATCTTGGATGGAGGATTTAACACCATCTCAAAACTGGAGCCAGAACTGTGTCAAAACCTCCCTTTGTTGAAAGTGTTGAACCTCCAACACAATGAGTTATCTCAGCTTTCTGACAAAACCTTTATCTTCTGCAGGAGTTTGACTGAACTTCATTTAATGTCCAACTCAATCCAGAAGATTCAAAATAATGCCTTTAAAAATCTAAAGGTAAGGTGAAAATGTTTATCTCAATATATTGTTGTTGTTGTTAAGTGTCATAGTGTCAATTCTGACTCATAACAATCTTATATAGGGTTCTCAAGGAGCAGCTGGTGGGTTTGAACTGCCATTCTTGCAGTTAGTAGTCCAGTGCTTATCCTACAGCACCACACCAGGACTCCATATTTCAAAGTATAAAATGAAAACTAAATGTTATCAGATAATAAGTTTGTAAGTCACTTATTTATCCTTAGACTTAAAACCTATACATGAAAATAATGAACTCTAATTCTCCCTAGCAGAGAAAGTAATCTAATACTAAGTAGTTTCCAAGTCATTTATCTGTCCGTAGCCTTGATACCTAAATATCAAAGTGAAGTATAAGAAATCTAATCTTATTATAAATATACAAACACAGACACATGTTGCTATTATGATAAAAAATGTATTTTCAAAGCAAAAATATAGACTAAAATGGTTTTAACTATAATTTAAATGGAATCCACTCCTCTAGCTTCCTGCCATCAGAAATAAAACTGAGACACGAGAGATGAAAGTTATTATTGATAAACAATAAAAGTATTCCAAAAATCCTGATAGTTTCTGAAAACTGACTTCACATAAAGTTACCAAAATGACACAATGATAAAGTTAATTATTCAACTTAAAGTCATTTTCGCTAGGTTTAAAAAACCCTTGGCACAGTAGATAAAGCACTTAGCTGCTAACAGAAGGCCTCCTCAGCAGTCTGTTGCAATAAAGATTCACAGCCTTGGAAGAACTATGAAGCAGTTCTATTTGTCCTAAAAGGTCATGGCAGGGGTTCTGATTTTTGTTTGTTTGTTTAATCTTTACAGAAAACCCTGCCACATCTTGTTTCTGCAGTAAAGCTGGTAAATCACTGATCTTTAGGTTGTCAGTCAAGCACTTAAGTACTGCATCACCAGGACCTCTGGTTTAAAAAATCTCTCACATTACTTTTCCAAGGACTAGCATCTGTTTCTTTTCAGCCAGTTCACTTGAATTTTTAAAACAGTGAAAAATACAAGTTAGTATCTTTAAATAGAAGTGTTTTTCTTAAGCCAAAGTCCTTTCAAGTTGTTTCTGTCTTTTCTGCATTGTATGTCCTTGCAAAATATTGTGAATGCCTTATTTAGGATTAAAGTGGTGGTGCTGCTGGTGGGCCGTGGAGTCGGCTCCGACTCATAATGACTCATAAAAACCCATATAGGGTTTCCAAGGCTATATCTTTTCAGCAGCAGAAGGCCTCATCTTTCTCCTGCTGAACAGCTGGTCAGTTTTGAACTGCTGACCTTGAGGTTAGCAGTCTGACTCCTTACCACTATGCTACCAGAGCTCCTTCAGAAATAAAGTGAAAATCTAAAAATGCTTAAAACAATTTATTTAAGAGGTTGCTCATCATTGTTGTTAAATGCCACAAAGTCAGATCTGACTCATAGAGACCCTGCATAGAGTTTCCAAGGAGTTGCTATTGGATTTGAACCATCGATCTTGCAGTTAGCAGTCCAACGCTTATCCTACAGTGCCATACCAGGACTTCACTACTATTTGTAAATTATCTTGTGTGCCTTCTTACATTTTTCTATGGATGTAATGTCTTTGGACATAAAGACTTCAGAATCTTTACTGCCCCTATAAGTGAAATTTAGAAGCTTATCTTTTTTAAAAAAAAATCAATAAGTAAACATCTCTTTTATAGAGATTACATAAGATTTTCCTGTAATAGTCATTAGCATTTGTTTACCTTTTACCTGACTTTGAACTTTGAAGTTGATTCTAAAGTAATGTTTAACAGTACTGTCATCCCATAATATTGACAAAACAAACAAAATTGTAATGTGATCCAAAAATAACAGCTGAAAATCTTTCAAAATATAAAAATTGTTTTAGGAGTATGCAAACAGCACGTTTTCAAGAACATTTTTTTTTTTTTTTGCTCTTGTTATTTTAAATTATTGTTGTAAGGTGACTATATGACCTATAGCTGTTAAGTCATATGGATATTAATTATATCATAGATACATGCTGACTGAGATTATGTGCCTTTACTTCTGAAGTAAGAAACTCAAGCCTTGCCAAGATGGTATTTTTCTTACATCAAAGATTGTTAGTTTTTCTTACTGTGAGTTTTATATGCTATTATGGAGAAGTCATATTTTGCTTTGAGATATTTCTAAGAGATAAAATGAGCATAGTGACTCCACATGATAAGCACTGTACTATGAACCACAAAATTGGAGATTCAAGTCTACCAGCCATTCAAAGGAGAACCATGGGGCTTTCTGCTCCCACAAAGATTTAAAGTCTCAGAAACCCAATGTAGGGTCACTATGAGTTGCAACTGACTCAATGGCACTTCAACAACAACAGCAACATGTATATTTAATGATGTTTTATGGCAAGACTAACTTACATATATATATATTTTTCCCCTCCTCAGAATTTAATCAAATTAGACCTAGCTCATAATGGTTTATCATCTACAAAATTAGGAACTGATCTACAACTGGAAAATCTCCAAGAACTTCTATTGTCAAATAATAAAATCCATGCATTAAGACGTGAAGAACTTCATTTCCTTGGCAATTCTTCTTTAAAAAAATTAGACTTGTCATCGAACCAAATTAAAGAGGTAAGAAGTGAGGTATTATTTTATGCACGTGGGTGTGTTTGTTCTACCTTTAAGTGTAGGGAATCCTTAACTGTGCCGTAAAAATAGAAATATAAAGACTCCAGAGGAAGGACAATGAGTTTGTTGTTGTTGCTATTAGGTGCCTTAGAGTCAGTACAGACTCATAGCAACCCTATGCACAACACAACAAAACACTGCCCGGTCCTGCGGCAATCTCACAATTGTTTGCTAAGCCTTAGTCCATTGCTGCCACCACTGTGCCAATTCATCTCATTGGGGGATCTTCCTCTTTTCCTCAGATCCACTTTATGGAACATGGTATCCTTCTCCAGTGACTGGTCCCTCCTGATAATATGTCTGAAGTATGAGGGACAAAGTTTGGCCATCCTGGCTTCCAAGGAGCACTCTAGCTGTACTTCTTCCAATGCAGATTGGTTTTGTTCTTTTGGCAGTCCATGATACTTTTAATATTTTCCTCCAACACCATAACTTAAATGCATCAATTCAACTGTGGTCTTCCTTATTCACCGTTCAACTTTCACATACATATGAAATTATTGAAAATACCATGGCTTGTCAGGCTCATCTTAATCCTCAAATTTTGCTCTTCTTGTGCAGCAGATTTGCCTAATGCAATATGTTGTTTGATTTCTTGACTGCTGTTTCCATGAATGTTAATGATTAATCCTAGAAAAATGTAGGATTCAATTAAAAGTCTTTGACAATTTCAATCTTTTCTCCATTAATAAGAATGTTGTTTATTGGTCCAGTGGTGAGGATTTTTATTTTCTTTACATTGAAATGTAGCCCATACCAAAGGCTGTGGTCTTTGATCATCAGTAAGTATTTTAAGTCCTCTTAACTTTCAGCAAGCAAGGTTATATCATCTGCATATTGCAGGTTGTTAATGTGTATTCTTCCAATTCTGATGCCATGTTTTTCTTCATATAATCCAGCTTCTTGGATTATTTGCTCAGCATACAGATTGAATAAGTATGGTAAAAGAATACAACCTTGGTATACACCTTTATCAATTTTAAACCATTCAGTGTTTGCACATTCTGTTTGAACAACTGCCTCTTGGTCTATGTACAGGTTTCTCAAGAACACAATTAAGTGTTCCAGAATACTCGTACTTCACAATGTTGTCCATAGCGAATTGAAATAATCCACAAATTGAAAGCCTTTGCACAATAAACACCTTTCTGATAGTCTCTGCTTTCAGACAAGATCCATCTTAGCTCATCCTTACTGCTTGGGGCCAGTGGCACAATCCTTACAGGAAAGAGTACATTGGTAGTGATTAAGAGTTGGAATTCTACTTTCAAACAAAAGTGAATTTAAATGTTCTTTCTATCACATGCCTGTTCTTTGACTTTGGGGAACTTATTAATTGCTCCTAGTTTAAAGTTCCTTACTTGTAAAGGTAACAGTCTCATCAAAGTCACTGAAAGTATTAAAATTGTATGATAGTTAAGATCACAGGTTTTAATGTCATGTTAGTTAAGTCCCTATCCTGGTTTTATCTCTTAATAAACAAAATCAAGTAAATATTTCAAGTCCTCTTTGCTTTATCTCCCCAGTTGTTAAAAGTTTTATAGTAACAGGACTACCACACTAAGATTGTGAGATAAATAATTTAGCACAGTGTCTGACATATAAGCACTACAAAATTTGAACTATCCATATACAATCTGTCCACAACTTATCTGTCAGTTTGTTGTACATTGGTGGTTTGCTTGCTACTTCTATGCTAGAAGCTATGCTATTGGTATTTTAAATAGCAGTAAGGTCACTCATGATGGACAGGCTTCAGTTGGCCTTCCAGATTAAGACAGACTAGGAAGAAGGAGAGGTATGCTACTTCTGAATATTTAACTACTGAAAACCTTTTGAATAGCAGTAGAACTTTGTTAAATCCACTGCCAGAATAAGAAAACATTAAGAAGAGCATCAGAATATCATTAGATGATATTGGAAGGCACTCAGAATATGACTAGGGAAGGAAGAGTTGCCTCCTCATGTGGAGTTGCCTCTTCATGTAGAGTTGACCATGATGACTTGAATGGAGTGAAGCTTTCAGTACCTTTATTTGCTGATGGGGCAAAACTCAAAATGAGAAAAAGAAAAACCAGTCCATTCATAATCAGAACATGGAACGTACGAAGTGTGAATCTAGGAAAACTGGAAGTTGTCCAAAAAGAGATGGAACACATAAATATCAATATCCTAGTCACTAGTAAGCTAATTTTGAATCTGACAATCATATGGTTTACTATTCCATATTCCATTATTATTTGACAAATGGAAGAGGAATATTGTCAAATTCATTATCACAAAGAACTTTTCAAGATTTGCCTTGAACTAGAATGTTGTGAAGGATAATATCTGTAGGCCTACAATAAAGACCAGTTAATACCACCATTATTCAAATTTATGCACCAACTACAAGCACCTTGATGTAAAGAACACAAAAATCCTCACAATTGGATCAGTAAATAACATCATGATAAATGAAGAATAGATTGAAGTTGTCAAAGATTTCATTTTTGTTTGGATCCACAATCAACACTCATGTTAATAGGAGTCAAGAAATCAAACAACTTATTGAATTAGGTAGACCTGCTAGCAAAAGATCTCTTTAAGAACTAGATGGTACCTGGCTACCACCAATCACTGCTCTGAAAGGGGTCACATTAGAAGGTCCCAAATTTGTTGTTGTTAAGTTCCTTTGAGTCAGTTATGACCCCCAGCAACCCTGTATATTGTTTCAGAGGAATGACTGATGAGATTGAACCACTGACCTTGTGGTTCAAATCAACCTTGTGGTCTAGTGCTTATTCTGCTATGCCACACCAGGTCCCAGATAGAGCAGCAAAAATGTTGAACAAAACTCAAAATGATTTTTTAAATAAAAACAAGATTGGGTTTTGCTGGTCAGAAACAGACTGGATGAACCTATGACTATGGCTCTCGACCATCCTTCATATCTGGAGAGGAACTCACCTTCGTGGCCTAATTATCAGCCAAACAGTAGATAGGTATACGAGAGGGGCCAAACAACACTAGTAAGAAATGCTCACCATGGCTTCATGGGGCGGCTCCATGGCAGCACCCTCTCAGCTGCCAGCTCCCTCTGTCCATCAGTCCCTCTGTCCAGAGTCCCAGGGTTTGGGTGCACCCCAGGACAGGAAGTAGTTAGTAGGAGGTTGGGGAAGTCGGGGGTGGCTGGCTACCTGACTGTCCCCTAGGAGTTTACTGCCATGATCCCTTAATAAACAAAATCAAGTACAGGGCTTCGGGCCCAGAAACCCAGATGGGAAGCTAGTGACAGAGGGGAAGCCAGTGTTGGAGGCTGTTTTTTGTTTTCTTTTAATGTTTTATTGTGAATTATGTGATTGTTTACATGGGAGAACATTAGCTTTACATTCATCCTATCATATATCCTTTCATTGCCATGGTTACAATCCCCCAGGGATTGTTTTTGTAAAAATTACAAAGTTTTTTTGGGGAAAAAGGAACAAAACCTATATAAAAATCTCTTCACATATAAAATCCTGAAGGTGCAAGGTAAAACTCAGTGCCAATCATTCAAAATCAAACGGGGAACATTTACATAAGGACAAAGTTGAGAAGGGATGGAAGAGTGGGTGGAATGGAAATAGGATAACTGCTGTTGCATGGAGGGGATTACAATCATTGGGGTGGGGGTGGAGGGTGGGATGAGGAAAGCTGAAGATCAAAGATGTTGCTTTGAAGGTTAAGGTGTGCCTGGCCCAAGCCATGGTGTTTTCAATAGACTCATATGCATGTGAAAGTTGAACAGTGAATAAGGAAGACCTCAGATGAATCAATCTATTTGATCTCTTAGTCTGTGAGAATAACATTGAAAATATCATAAACTGCCAGAAGAACAAATCTGTGTTGGAAAAAGTAGACTCAGAATACTCCTTAGAAGCCAGGTGGCAAGACTTTTCTCACATTTTGGACATGTCTTCAGGAAGGACCAGTCCCTGGAGAAGGACATCATGCTTGATGAAGTGGAGGGTCAGTGAAAAAGAGATGAACTGACAAGGTGGCAGCAGGAATGGGCTCAAACAATTTGTGAAGACATGGTGCAGGACGAGGCAGTGTTTCTGTCCATTGTGGATAGGGTTGCTATGAGACAGAACAGATGTGATGGCATCTAACACCACCAACAACAATCTGTATTTTGTGTTCAGTTTATTCTTTTTCTGGCTATGGTGGTGGTGGTGTGCCTCAGAACTGGTTCCCATGTATGGCGACCTTGTATGAATTTTCTGAGGTTGTAAATCTTTATAGGAGCAGAAAGCCTCCTTTCTCCCAGGGAACAACTGATATATTTTAACTGTTCACCTTGTGGTTAACAGCCCAATTCATAATCCACTACTTTACCAGGTCTCCTCTTAATAGTCTATGTTGCTGTTAAGTGCCATCGAGTCGGTTCAGATTCATAGCAACCTGTATAGCATTTCCAAGGAGCAGCCATTCATAATTAAATCCGATTTTTAAAAGTTGCCTTATTTTTCCATTTGTAAAAATAGACTGTTTACAAAATCATCCTGAGATAATAATTAACAATTTTGTGGTCACCACTCATTTTATTTCTTAAATAGCATTTTCTTTGTAATTAGAATATTTAATTTACTGTAGAAATCTTATACATGAGCATCTGATGAAGACTCAAAGATCAACCAAAAGCCCACAACCCAGAACGACTGCCTTTAGTGTATGCTTCTTTTCACTTTTTATTCAAATAACAATAGGAAAAACAATCATGACAAGAGCTAGCATTCATAGAGAATTTAACTGAGTGTCAAACACTGTGCCGAGTTGTTTTAAATATTTTATTTATCTAATCGCTTTGACCAATTTATACTTTGTGTTATTGTACACAAGAGAACACTGAGATTAAGAAGCAATTGATGGTTATCTATGGTCTCACAGATGGTCAGCTGGTGACAGAGGATGGAATCTGGCAGTGTAAGACCCGAGCCTCTCTGAGGATGATGCTGCATCCTGCTAGTCAAAATTAACATCACATCATGAGCATCTACTTGGTCTTTAAGATGTTTTCAACAACTGAATTTTGTTGTTGTTGTTGTTAATTGCTTTCAAAGTGATTCCAATTCATAGCAGCCTTGGACAGGGTTTCCGAGGAGCAGTTGGTGGGTTTGAACTGCTGATCTGCAGTCCTGTAGTGATCCTACAGCGCCACAACTTAATTTTATGGGCTACAAAGCAGACTACCATGTAGATTGATCATAATTCATTTAATGATTTGATGCTTTACATTTAATTCATTGTCTTTACAATAAAGCACACTTTTGTATATTTCTCTCTCATTCCATGAGCCCTTATATCTGGCAGGTGACACACTAGAATCTGGAGACTATGCTCCACTGGTCAATTTGAACTATGCTCTGCAAGGTCAATTTGAACCACAGGTCATGGATCCAGCTCAACAGCCGCTCCTTGGAAACCCTACATAGGATTGCTATGAGTTGGAACTGACCTGATGGCACTTAACAACAAATGCTCCACTGATGAGTTTTATAACCAGACATTGGCTACTTCCCCTCTTCTCTGAATTCCTTCTCTTGCCTTGTGTTTTCTTGTTCCCGCAAAATGCTTTTGGTAAAAGAGTGGGGACAGTTGTAGAAAGACACTGTAAATACCATAATGAAATCTTTATAGGAGCAGAAAGCGTATAAAGTCAGTAGGAAACCGCATAGAAAAACAAAATGATAGAACCTCAAAGAGGTTATAGAAAGGAAAGTTTGTGGCACTTTCTCATAAAACCCACCCATTCGTTCATTTCATAATGTTCACGTAGAACAATAGTGACCAAGTCAGAAACACTATTGTCCCATTGGTGACTTCGTAAATAGTTGAGTAATTATAAACATACTCAGTGTGATTAAATAAAAAGCACCAGGAGATTTAATTTACACTGGTAAGTCAGGGAAAGTCCCCTGAAGAAGAAGTATCTAAACTTGAGGAAATAAATGCTGGACAGAAGTTAGCCTGAGACTGTGGAAGGTTTGGACTGTGGCTCAGGAGGTGTTATACACACAGTTAGGAAGGCCCTGCACATTAGAGAAGTGACAGGCAATGTGGTCCCTGTAGATAATATGTTAAATAATTTTAAGTTTTTCAAGTACCATACATAGACTTTATGTTTTCGTTATAAACCTCTCTCTTTTTTTCACCTTCAGTTCTCTCCAGGGTGTTTTCATGCAATCGGAAAATTATTTGGCCTCTTTCTGAACAATGCCCAACTGGGCTTCAGTCTTACGGAGAAACTGTGTTTGGAATTATCAAATACAAGCATTCGGAATCTATCTCTCAGCAACAACCAGCTCTACAGAATAAGTAATCTGACCTTTTTGGGACTGAAAGAGACAAATCTCACCATGCTCGATCTTTCCTATAATAATTTAAATATGATCGCTAATAATTCCTTTGCTTGGCTCCCACATTTGAAATATTTCATCCTGGAGAATAATAATATAGAACATTTGTCTTCTCGCTCCTTTTATGGGCTATTCAGTGTGAGATACTTGAGTCTGAAACGATCTTTTACTAAACAAAGTGCTTCCCTTTCTTCTCTACCCAAGATTGATGATTTTTCCTTACAGTGGCTAAAACATTTGGAGTACCTTAACATGGAAGATAATGATTTGCCAGGGATAAACAGCAATATGTTCACAGGATTGACAAATCTGAAATATTTAAGGCTATCCAATTCCTTTAAAAGCTTGCAAACATTAACAAATGAAACATTTGTATCACTTGCTCAGTCTCCTTTACTCTTACTCAACCTAACCAGAAATAAAATCACAAAAATAAAGAGTGGTGCTTTTTTTTGGTTGGGCTACCTAAAGGTACTTGACCTTGGCATTAATAGCATTGAGCAAGAACTCACAGGCCAGGAATGGAGAGGTCTAGGAAATATTATTGAAATCTACCTTTCCTATAACAGATACCTACAACTAACTAGCGATTCCTTTGCCTTGGTTCCAAGCCTCCAGCAACTGATGCTCCGAAGGGTGGCCTGTAAAAATGTGGATATTTCTCCCTCACCTTTCCGCAGTCTTCGTAACTTGACCATTCTGGATCTCAGTAACAACAACATAGCCAACATAAATAGTGAGATGTTAGAGGGACTTGGCAAACTAGAAATTCTGAATTTGCAGCACAACAACTTAGCAAGGCTCTGGAAACATGCAAACCCCGGTGGTCCTGTTTATTTCTTAAAGGGTCTTTCTCACCTCCGCATACTTAACTTAGAGTCTAACGGCTTTGATGAGATTCCAGAGGAGATTTTCAAGGATTTGTCTGAACTAAAGAGCATTGATTTAGGATTGAATAATTTAAACATACTGCCACCATCTGTCTTTGACAATCAAATCTCTTTGAAGTCGCTGAACCTTCAGAAAAATCTTATAACATCAGTTGAAAAAGATGTTTTTGGACCGCCTTTCAAGAACCTGAGTAACTTAGATATGCGTTTTAATCCATTTGATTGTACATGTGAAAGTATCGCCTGGTTTGTTAATTGGATTAATGGAACTCATACCAATATCACCGGGTTACCAGAGTCTTATCTGTGCAACACTCCACCTCAATATCATGGCTTCCCAGTGACACTTTTTGATGTATCAGCCTGCAAAGACAGTGCCCCTTTTGAACTGTTGTTCATAATAAACACGAGTATCCTATTGATTTTTATCTTCAGTGTATTACTCATCCATTTTGAGGGTTGGAGAATATCTTTCTATTGGAATGTTTCAGTACATCGGATTCTTGGTTTCAAGGAGATAGACAGACAGCCAGAGCAGTTTGACTATGCCGCATATGTCATTCATGCCTATAAAGATAGAGATTGGGTCTGGCAACACTTCTCCCCAATGGAAGAAAAAGATGAATCTCTCAGATTTTGTCTGGAAGAAAGGGATTTTGAGGCAGGTGTCCTTGAACTTGAAGCAATTGTCAAGAGCATCCAAAGAAGCAGAAAAGTTATTTTTGTTATAACACAGCATCTATTAAAAGATCCCTTATGTAAAAGGTAAGTGAACATTGTGAATTTTTAAATGCGTGTTTGTTTTTCAATTCAACTTTCAAATATGCATTATATTAAAATCTACATAATATTGGGTTGTTATTACTGAAAATTAAAGGATTTTAAAATGGAAAACTAAGAGAAGGAATTTAAATGGAAAAATTAAGTAAATTCCAAAAAGAATTTTAGATTTTAGAGTTTGGGTTATTAAAATTTTAAAAAGTTAGTTCAGTATTTTTTTCTTTTCTTTTTCTTTTGGCTTAGATTCAAAGTGCACCATGCAGTTCAGCAAGCTATTGAACAAAATCTGGATTCCATTATATTGATCTTTCTTGAAGAGATTCCAGATTATAAACTGAATCATGCACTTTGTTTACGAAGAGGAATGTTTAAATCTCGCTGCATCTTGAACTGGCCAGTTCAGAAGGAACGGATAAGTGCATTTCATCATAAATTGCAAGTAGCACTTGGATCCAGAAATTCAGTACATTAAGTTTTATGTAGAGATTAAAGTACAAAGGTGTAACTTTTTTTTTTTTAAGTTCCATGGCAATTAGAGTTTTACTTTAAAATAATGTAACTCTACTTTCTCATACTTACCATAACACAATTGCATCTCTTCTCTTGAAATACACTTCCGTATTCAGACCCCCTGTTGTTAGTCGACTTGATTATCTAAAGTAAAGATGTAATCATATAAGAACATTTTTACTACTAAATATACCTATGACAATTTAAGAGTATAAAATTACTTTTCATTTAAAAAAAGTCATAAAGTCATATGAGGATTTATGCAATGGTCTCTACTTTGGGGGGAATGTATTTGCAATAAAATGGAAAATGGTGGTGGTGGCATTGTGCCATGGAGTGGGTTCCAACTTGTAGTGACCCTGCGTAGGGTTTCCAAGGCTGTAAATCTTTACGGGAGCAGAAAGCCTCTCTCTCTTTCTCTCTCTCTCTCTCCCTCTCTCTCTCGTGAAATGGCTGGTAATATCCAACTGCTGACCTTGAGGTTAGCATCCTGACTTGTAACCATTATGCTACCAAGATAGTGGGTTTAAAAGGTATTGTGTTATTTCAACTAGAAAATAATAAAATATAAGCCCATACTTAAATTTTTTAATTGCAGTATTTTTTTTTTCTATTGAAAAGTGTTTATTGTGGTGCCTTGCCCAATGTGGATTTTGTTAAATGCTAAATACCTTTGTAATATATACATACAGAAAACATTTGTAATTGATTTTGATTAGTTAATTAAATGAATATTTTAATAACTAATTATATTTCATGATATTTGGGTTTCTGCTACAGGAATTGTTAGAAGAAACAATTTCCTTCTTAAAAGCATTGCAGAAAAACCTGTTTCCCAAAGGTTAATCAGCAGATCAACTTTGTAGTAACAAAGAATTTTTCTCCTCTGGTCACAGACTCAGGTGATGGCCTTGCCCAAAATACCTGGTCCCACTGAGATTCTTTTACTCCTGACTTTTAATGCTACGATGGTAGATAATCTCTTACTATTCTGGTAGCATAGTGGTTACGAATCGGGCTGCGAACCTTAAGGTCAGCGGTTCGAAACTACCAGCCACTCCGCAGGAGAAAGATGAGGCTTTCTACTCCCGTAAGGATTTACACCCTCGGAAACCCTGTACAGGGTCGCTATGGGTCGGAACCGACTCGACGGCACTTAACAACAACAACAACATTCCTCAATAATTAGTGATGATGATCATGACATAATAAATCCATATAGCATTTGTTAACTGTACCACACATAAGCTAGTCCTTCTCTAGAAAGACTATTATTTTAAGTGTTACTTACTTATTGGTTTATAATAAAAATAATGTGAATGCTCTTCAGTTTCACATTATACAACCCACTGACACTAGAGACTCTTTTTTACAGCATTTCTGCTAATGTGTATTCTAAGTATGAAAAAATCCTGCTTTATGTTGGTATCATAAAATAAGAATCACAAGAATATCTTTGATTAATGTACTTTGCATGCTATCTATCAATAACCTTCTCATAAAAATATTTCTAAATAAATTATTAGAATGAATTCATCAACATATCATCAGTTTTTGAAAAGCACGTTAGAAAATAATTGTACTTTTATTCTCTATTTGCATATGAGATCATGGAACAAATGTCCACAATTTGAATTGAATTAAAATAAAATAATAAATCAATAATAATAATAAAAAACATTTTAAAAAAATTTAAGTTGTATAATTTTTAAGAGATTAGTATTGACAAGGAATGTCTCATTGAGCCAAGTATGAATAAAACTCATAAAAGGCATAAGATTGACTTGTGTGTGACCCAAACAGGAAGTAACATCCTGAACTCCTGTAGGCTGTTCTTTATAATTGTCCTCAGGAGACATCCTTCTCTCTAGAGTTCAAAACAACAAGAGTTCAGAAAAGGATGTTTGTCTGACCTTCCGTTTAATTTCCACAAGTGAATTGACTTGCTTGAATACTCCCAGGTACCATCATGTAATCAGTTCACACCAACTTCTTCCTGTTTTTCAATTGGCAAAACAGAACTGAGCTGAATCAAAAACATTAAATTTACAATAAATCTAAATAACTTAGATTCCATCTCAATGATCCTTTTGTTTTTATTTTATATTGTGAATTGGGGGAAGATTCACAGAGCAGATCATTTTCAGCCAATTCATACACATTTTGTTTCAACGCATTGATGTAAGTAACATCACTTATCCCACTTCCTCCTTCTATTTGCTGTTTTCTTTCTTAACTCTTCTTAAGGTAAATACTGCCCTTTTAATCTCAAGCTGTTGATTATTCTAAGGTGTATACCTTACTAGTGTTATTATTCCCCTTATAAACCTGTCTATTATTTGGCTGAAAACTGCACCATGGGGATGAATTCAGTTCCAGATGTAAAGAGTGACTAAGGGTCACAGTTTTAGGATCCCACCAGTCTTTATCCAATCAGTGCATCTTTTTATAATATGAGTTTAGTTTCACGCTGTCTCCCACTGTATCCAGGACCTTCTAATATGATCCTTACAGAGCAGTTGGTAGTAGTAGCCTGGAACTATCTAGTTTTTCTGGTCTCAGCATAGTGGAGACTAATGTTCAGGGGGTTCATTAGTCCATTGGTCTGATTGTTTCCATATGTCTTTAATTTTCATTGCTCTTCTTTCCCCCCCACAGGGAGAGACCAATAGTGGTATTTTAGATGGCCACTCACCAGCTTTTAAGACTCAAATTTTTACTCACCAAAGTAGGATATAGAGCATGTTTTTTGTGAATAATGGTATGCTAATTGACACTGGTGTCCCCTGAGACTATGGTCCTAAGACCC